CACACCCACACCCACACCCACACACCCACACCCACACCCACCCACACTCACATTCACACACACACACTCAGATCCACACTCACATACCCACACCCACACCCCACACACACAGCCCACACCCATACCCCACACCCACACACCCACACACACTCACATCCACACACACACACTCACATCCACACCCACATACCCACACCCACACCCACCCACACTCACACCCACACCACCACACACTCACATCCACACACACACACTCATATCCACACACCCACACCCACAGCTGAATTTAGTGTAAGAAAGACCACTTTTTTCTGAATAAAAAAAATAAAACATGCAGGTTTTTTGGTACATTCTTTAGACAATTTTCAGTGAATTTTAACTTAACAACTCTGTTAAAAATATTTTTAATATATACAGTTTTGTAGAGCTCGACGAACTCTATCAAATCATGTACAAATATTCGAGAGAAACATTTTATTCCATCTTTGAATTACTGGCATCTTACTTTTCCACTCCAAAAAAAGTGTAAAATTTCTGAAAGTTTCTTAAGTTCGATATTAAAAAGTTTTCATAACCCTTACTATTTAGTATCAATAAAGCCCATTTTTGACGAGCTTTCATTTGATATAAAATTCATTATGTCTTCTATTTGAAATTATAGTGGTACCCCCTGGAATAATATTATTTCCAACCTAGTAGTATGTATTGCGAATTTTTTTTGTGTGGCCACTTTGAGTACACGTAGCAAATGCGTGCAAATATTTACTTCAGATAAAACGCAGCTATATAAAAATGACTATTCTCATTTATAGAGCATAATAAAAAATTCTTTCTTTTAAGATCGAAATTTTAACATAATTTTACTTCAGTTTTCTGCGTTTAACTTTAACCATGTGCTATCAAGGCTGTCGCTCTTCATGCATCTATAAAGCTCAGTACGTATTTCTTGCAATTTTATCGATCAGCGAATTTATATTAGGTATGTGGCGTATTTCAATATTTTTTTCGCCGACCTATGCCACTGTAAATGGACAGCAAGTAGTTATGCCTAGTAAACTCAAAAAAAATAAAGCAACAGTTGCTGCATTCATACTTGACTGGATAAGTTCAATTGTACCAACATTTATGGGTATATTCGTCGCACTCATCACAGCTCTTTTACTTTGTCGTTGTTTCTGCAACAGCGATAAAAAGAATCGTGTACGTTCTTCGGAAGACTTAACAACACGTGATATTTGTAAACTTGTATTCAGCAAACCGGTACATCGTTTTCTCTCTTTGGATTGTAATTGTCCATGTTACATAGCACGGCCAAAACTACGTTTTCAAGTTCGTTTTGCATTCCTATGCATATCCGCTGTACTTCGTCTTATAGCAATTATTCTCTACAGAACCACTAAAGGTGTTGATAGCGACGGGATCTACATGGCTGAACTATGTGGTTTATCATTTATAGCGCTTTTCCTAACATTTCTTATTGATTTCTATCATTACTGGGTCTGGTGGCATTATCGTCCTTCCACAGATAAAGGTTGTCATTGTACGCTGTCAAAGAAGCATCAACGCTACATACCCTATCATCTAATGGGCGAATATCGTACAATGCTATTCGGAGATAAACCATGTGCAGATGGATACGTTTGTACAAATCGTAATCTTGAACACATAATGATCTTTCATCTTGACGAACACAAGCCACAACAGCGTTACTCAGCTGTAAAAAAGTCTGAAAAACCCGAGGATACAATTTACGTTGGTTTTCATCAGACATCGCCGGCGAACGCATCGTCTATTGCACACTCTGACTTTCGACCGTCATCGGAGGGTAAACTCGGACCTGGAATCTATTTTGCACGATCAAAAGCCGGTACGGAATATAAAGCAAATGAACGCGGTGCATATATTGCAGTTGAAGTGCACATGGGCATAGTGAAGGAGGTTACAAATGCAAATGTAAACGATTTCAGAAAGCCAAATTCACCACCGTATGATACTGTGTATCTAAATCACGATAAAGAAGATAAAGATGAATTTTGTGTCAAAGATGCATCGCAGATTAAAAAGTGGGTTATTGTCGTTGGTAATGAATATGACACACGTCCCGAAAAGTTCGGACTAATCAATGAATTTGATGATACATGGGTGGGGTGTGGCTGCATTTACTGTTGATGAAACGATCATTTTTTTTCAATCAACTTCTGATAAAAAGAAATCAAGATATGTACTTTTCATCACCATGTAGTCGTGTTCTAGGTTCGCCTTTGTATTGAAGGAGAAATGTATTTAAGTATGACTAGGAAGTCGGTTTTCAACAACATTTTAGACAATATTTTGTCGAGAAGCTCTTTCTAGTGGTGTATAAATCAATATCTTTTAAGAGAGAGTCCATAACTCCATCGAACATGGTCATACTCTCGAAAAATTTGACCCCTATATTTTATGATTGTAAATGAAAGAGCAAAGTGAGAAGCCTATAAATCCAAAATTTTAGCTCATTCTGACTTACTGATAAAAAGTTATGAAGTACAAACTGAAAGCACTCTCAATAGATTTTGAAAAAAAATTTTTTTTTGAAAAATTTGGTAAGTCAGTATTTGGTCATTTTTTCTAGAGTGAATTCTCACAATCCTTTCGACTAGTATACCACCTGATAAAGCGAATTTCGCTCTACAAGACTGTATATGTCACCTTCTCATCACCCTCCATTTTGTAGGTACAACAATCGCGAAACTAGATGAACCCTACTGCTTTTTTCGCATTTTTGTCTTGCTCTCTTTTTCATTGCAAGCTACATTTCTATGCTATTTCTAATGGTCCCAGAAATTTTTTTATGGTTTTGGATAGAGCAAAGAAAGAGCTATCAAATAAATATTAAATGATTGAAATCAAAATAGCACACGGTGTTCATCCAAGCCACAAAAGATATTCGACTACTATCTTGAAAACCATATTTTTCATTATTTTTCTGCACCATTTATGTATATATTAGCTCTGACTTTTCTTCCAACTAGGAATCGAATTGAGATTTATTTTTCACCATTGAAAAAATCATAAGATAGGTTATTCAAACATTTTGAACGTCAGTTATATCATATGGATTAGTGATTCTTTTTTTCGGAATATGTGCAGTACAATAGCTACTTTACATTCAATTCATAGTTTGCTAAAGTAAATGAATTGCGTTTTTAAGACGTTCTCAAATGCTATATAATTTACTAATTTGCTTTATCTTGTTTCGAATTGCTTTCAACGAATGAACTCTAAAAACTCGAATACTATTATATACCCATTTGATCAATAAATCATAAATAAAATTTTGAGGAAAATCTATTTTATCTACTTTTTAATCTTGCACTAGCAAAATCGCAAAAATTATTTCATCTGCAACTTATTTTACTAAATGTCGGGCTACATTTATATCTATTATTTCAATTTAGCATAAGCTTGCTCACATTATTCACCCAGTGAAAAAATCTAGGATTAAAATCACAAAATACTGTGGTCATAATTGATTATAATCCGATTGATAATCAACTCTAACCAATTAGAAAGCAGTATTAATCGATTGATGCTGATTGAAAAAGTGATTTTAATCGTTTATAATTTCGATTTTGGAGCAAAAACATCGAGCTCCAAAGATGGACTATAATCGATTATAATCTCGATTATTTTACTTCATAATCCGATTTGAAATTTCAGTTATCATCAATTATAACCGAACAGAAAGATTTTCATCAATCACAATATCCGTTTCTCGCGAATTACTCTCTTCCCTTCCATGCAGCGAACTCATGAAAACAATCATTGCTTGTTCGATTTAGTTTCGAATTTCATAAATACTTCTATGATGATTTGATTTCGCCTCTTACTTTCAACTGATTGTTAATCCAGTTCTCAAAAGCTACGCTCAGGATAGGATTTGAGAAATCTAAATTGAATAGCCTTCGCCTGTTGACTTGTTGTTTACTTCTCCATGCTCCATTAGACGACTGTTAACACTAAGCCTTGAGTGCCATCATTTGAAATGATCGGTAATAATGTGACACCGTTTCTTTTCTGAAGTTTTTAGTCGTAGATCCTCTTTATGAAAACTCATGGACTTTGTGAAGCTGTTCCGCATCCAACTCGATAACTCTTTGGAGTGATTCTATGAGTTTGAGAACTTTGTACTTTTTAGCAATATTCGACATGCTCTTGTTAATGTTGAAATCCTTGATCATGTTCTCTCTATGAGTTTACTGAATAGATCAATCATGAAACATCCTTTCTGGTTCAATAGTTTCTTATCAGTGCGAGGCAAACTGATTATACTGTCGAGATTATTTGAAAGACAACTGTTCTTCAAACATTAAACTATTATTTCTGTACGTGATATCTTTGAAGAACTTCAGGCTATGAAAAGAACTAATCGTGCACGCTTCATCTCGCATTCAGTTCAGCATTGAATGCGTTCGGGGCGGAGTTTACAACGATTAGTTTTTCTATAGGTCGAAGTTCTTCAAAGATGTCGAGTGTTGAAATAATAGAGTTTAATGTTTGAAGAACAGATACCTTTGAAATAATTTTGATAGTAGAATCAGTTTACCTCACATGGATACGAAACTCTATTGAATCAAGAGGGATGTTTCATGATTGGCCTATTCAATAAGCTCATTAAGAGAAAAGGATCAAGGATTTCAACATTAACAAGAGCATCTAGAAGATTACTAATCAGTAAGAAGTTATCGAACTCATAACATAACTTCAAAAAATAATTGATTTGGACACGGAACGGCTTGACAATGTCGATTTGTTTTACATGAAAAGGGTCTAAAACTAAAAACTCGAAGAAATAAACGGTGTGACATTATTACCGATCATTTCAATTGATCGAATCCAATGTTTAGTATTAACATTCGTCTAATGTAGCATTGACAAGTAAACTACTAGTCGACATGGGTAGGCTATTAGAGTTAGATTTCTGAAATTCTATCATCGGCGTAGCCTTTAAAAGCTCGATTGACGATTAGTTCAATGTAGGAGGTGTGGGTGTGGGTGTGGATGTCGGTGTGGGTGTGGGTGTGGGTGTGGATGTCGGTGTGGGTGTGGGT